GGCCTGCAATCTACAGCCAGGGGACCTACTGCTGTTCCCAAGTCATCCCTCCTTTCCTCTGACAATCACAGGGTGTCTCATGTTCTCTACCAGCCAATAAGAAAAGGCTGTGCTTCTGCCAAAGTCTATTCCTTCAGAATCCACTAAAATGAACCCGCCACACATTCTGCATCAGCAGAGGTGCACTGCCATCCTGTGGCCACATCTCTAACTACAGAACTCGTTGGGTACATGTTCTTCTCTTACCCTGTGCCTATGGGGGACTCGGGTGCATAAAAACAGCAATAGGTCAAACAAATTAAGTCAGGACAGAGAATAACGGAGAACATGGAGATCAAGGTTTATATTTCTGCACACTACTGAGACATTGTTAATATTTTGGAAAGAGTCAGATGCTGTTGGTATTTATTCAAGGATGGCCTGGGTTTACATGTCGTTTGAAATCTGGAAAGTGCCAAGATTCACTCTCTTAAACAAAGAAAATATAAAACCTTCCTTTTCAAGCTGTGGTACATATATACAATAGACTACTACTCAGCCATAAAAATGAATGAAATCTTACCTTTTATGACAGTATGGATGGACCTAGGGAATATAGGGAATATAGTTAATAATATTGTGATAACTATGTATGGAGCCAGGTGGGTACTTGAAGCAGCATGGGGACCACTCTATAAATATTGACTTTCTAAGCACTTTTCTGTACAGCTGAAACCAATACAAAATAATATCAAATGTAAACTGTAATTGAAAATTTTTTTAAAATTTTAAACACTTCCCTTTTAGCTAAACCTGCTGTCCTCATTTGTCTGGTATGAAGAAAAACTCTTTCTAAAAGGAATGTGTAAGGAAAAGATCAGAGTATGAGGGAGAAGATCATTGGATATTTCAAGTACCTACTGTCTCAAACTCAGCTCCTCTAAGCTGCTCTTGCCTGTGGCCTTGCTACTCCCAGAGAACTGATAGTGCCAACGTTAATATTAAGAATCTTTCTTCAGATAAGATGACTGTAATTAAAAGTAAAGGATTGAATCTCCATGATAAGGGAGCAGGGGGATATCTTCCATGAGCTATTAATATTTCAACCATAGAAAGCAATTTGACCCATAGATAGGATTGAATTGCAGTAAGAAATCTAACATGCCTTAAAAAATCTATTCTAGGTCCTGGCCCAGCAGCTCGGTTGGTTAGATTGTCATCCTCATACACCAAGACTGCAATTCTGATCCCTGCACAGGGCACATAAGAGAATCAACTAGTGAATGCATAAAAAAGTGGAACAAACTGATGTTTTCCTCTCTCTCTCTCTCTCTATCTATCTGTCTATCTCTCTTCTCTCTCTCTCCCTCTCCCTCTCAACAATAATTAAATTTTAAAAACAAATCTATTCCAATGCTGTGTATCTCATATTTCTCAAAGTACTGAAGAAGTACAGCTTCTGAGAAAATATCAGGCTGCAGTATCAGAAAATAAAACTACATGTAAGTTTATTCTTGAGGTGGTTTCATTTTCTCATTAGGATAAATAACATCTTAAAATGCAATTACTGACTCATATTCTTAGCGGAATTTTTTTCTAAAGTATAAGCCAACATTCCTGGCATGGATTGCTGTCTCAGATTCCATACTCTATCATTTTTCTCACAAACTCAACTATAATGTTTTATCTCCAGGACATTGATAAAGTCTTTCAGTCCTGTGAGTTTCCAGAATTATCTTTCTCTACCACAAACCCTTTCTCATCTACTTTTATTTCTTGATTTCCTGTGACTGATAAGGGACTAGGACTGACCCTAAAGAACTGATCATGAGAAATGGTCCCTGAAGAACCAAGACTACCTCACTTCCAGAAGTGGAAGCGCCTTTCCTGTGATTTCAACTCACTGGTCCTCTGGAATTACAAAGAATAAATCTGATTTCTCTTCCACATCTTATACCCTTAAATATTTAAAGAGAACTATGGTGAAGCATATAAAATTAATATACAATTATATGCGTTACTATAAAATGTATGTTTTTAAGTATGTAAAACTTCTGAATTTTGAGAGTCTTCCATTATCCATAAAATAAAGATTTTTCAAATCTTTCTCTGAGCATATTTCCTTCTTTTTGAAGACATAGTGTATTTGCCCTTTTGATACATATTGCACGTAGAACTGACTGTAATGTGACCATTCATATGGAAACTAGTGTTTCATATGTTAACTGCAGCACAAATATAGCCATGCCTTGGAAAAAATTGTCAGCTCCATGATTAATTCACAGAATATTGTTGTACCTATCATCAAAATGTTGCCTGAAAAATTTTTATTTAGCCTCTTTATCAGCTGCCGGCCAAATGAGTCTTCAAATTCCAGTTATCATTTTTGCTGACAATATGTGAGTTATATTCATTATACTCATATCCTGCCTTCAAGAAATGTCCTCTTGGGATAATGAGTATATTAGCTGCTTCCAGGAAAGCCCATAGAGATACATCTGTGTGTTGAGGATGGCGCCATCACCTTTGGCTTCCTCTTACAGAAGCCAGTGAGTGATGGACTCGTTACTGATACAGTGACAGTGGCTCAGCCTTAATCTCCTTTCCTGCCTAAGGTGTTCCCCTAGCCAACCCTGAGACCTTTCAGTGGCAGAGACAGGGTCCTCAGGATGAGTTCCTGTCTGCATTTTCATTTCTCCTACAAGATCAGTGATGAATCTAGGAGACATCCATAGTAACATGGGACTTTACCACTGAGTGTAAATATCACAGACTGTGAGATCAAAGTGGTTCAATGGGTAACCGTGGATAAGCAGGATGTTCTTCTGGAGACTTATTTCTTATATGTATATCTATAACATATTATATAAAACCTGTAGGAAAAACATTTTTTTTGAAAAAAAACTCCAAAACAAACCTCCACAACTGGGGAGTACCTAGAGGAGGAAAATGAGCTTATTAATATGCAAAGCAAGAAACACTTTCTAAAACAACCTAATTGCATTAGGCCTTCTGGAGTTTCTCCTTAGAAAGTGAGTTTGGCTGTTCAAAATTCCCAGCCAGGCCTTATCAGATCATTGGCAAATATGTCCTCCCATTCATTGGGTTGCCTTTTTGCTTTGTTGATAGTTTTCTTTGCTGTGCAAAAACTTTTTATTTTGATGTAGTCACATTTGTTTATTTTGTTTGTTTGTTTCCCTTGCCTGAAGAACTATATCAGTAAAAACTGTGGCTAAGAGAAATGTCTGAGATTTTACTGCCTATGTTTTCTTCTAGAATTTTTATGGCCTCACACCTGTCAAAATGTTTAACATCAATGAATTCACAGATGACCAGTGCTGGTGACAATGTGGAGAAAAGGGAACCCCGGTGCACTGTTGATGGGAGTGTAGATTGGTGCATCCACTGTGGAAAACAGTATGGACTTTCCTCAAAAAATTAAAAATGCAACTGCCCTATGACCCAGCAATTCCACTTCTGGGAATATATCTAAAGAACCTGAAACACTAATTTTAAATAATATATGCACCCATTGCAGCTCTATTTACAATAACCAAAATTTGGAAACAGCCCAAGTGCCCATCAGTAGGTGAGTGGATACAAAAGCTGTGGTACATATGCATGATGGAATACTACTCGGCCATAAAAAAGAAGGAAATCTTACCTTTCAGGTCAAATTGGATGGACCTAGAGGGTATTACACTAAGTGAAATAAGCCAGTCAGAGGAGACAAATACCATATGATTTCACATATATGTGGAATTTAATGAATAAAATAAACAAAATAGAAGCAAACTTATAGATACAGACAACAGACAGCCAGCTGTCAGAGGGGAGGGGGATTAGGGGACTGAGCGAAATAGGTGAAGGGATTAAGGAAAAATAGACCTCAGGGACACAGACAACAGTGCGGTGATCACCAGAGGAAGAGTGGAGGTGGGCGGAATATGGTAAACGAGGGGATAAATGGTGATGAAAGGAGACTAGACTTTGGATGGTAAGCACACAATGCACTGTGCAGATGATGTATTGTAGAACTGTACTCTTGAAGCCTGTGTAATTTTATTGACCAATATAACCCCAATAAATTCAACTTAAAAATAAAATTTTAAAAAGAATGGGAAAAATGTCATGAGGTAATGTTTTCAATAGATCCACTTTTCTGAAATGCTTTATTTATTCATGCAAATCAGTTTCATGTAAGTATGAGTTTAATGTTGTAAGACTTTCTTTTTCAGTCATTTTAAGGTCACAGAAAAATTAAGAAGGTACAGAGATTTCCAATATACCTCCTGTTCCCACATACATATAGCCTCCCTTATTATGAATTTCCCCACTAAAATGGTATATTTCTTAAAACTAATAAACCTACAATGACACATCACGATCATCTAAAGTTTATAGAGTACCATAGAGTTAACTTTTTGTGTTGTACATTCTGTGGGTTTACACCAATGTATAATGACATGTATCCATCATTATAGTATCATAGAGACTAATTTCACCAAC